GGGGGCAGTGTGTATGGGGGGCTGTGGGGGCATTGTGTGTGGGGGCAGGGCAGTTTGTTTGGTGGGGCAGTGTGTGGGGGCTGTGGGGGCAGTGGCATTGAAACATGTGAGGCAGTTTGTTTGGTGGGGGCAAGTGTGCATGGGGGCTGTGGGGCAGTGTGTGAGGGGCATGTGGGGGCGGTTGTTTGGTGGGGCAGTGTGTATGGGGGCTGGCAGGGCGGTTATATGGGGGCTGTGGGAGGTGTGTATGGGGAGGGCTGTGGGGCCAGTGTATGGGGCATGTAGGGGCAGTTTGTTTGGTGGGGGCAGTGTGTATGGTAGAGGGCTGTGGGGCAGTGTGTATGGGGGCATGTGGGGGCAGTTTGTTTGGTGGGGGCAGTGTGTATGGGGGGCTGTGGGGCAGTGTGTATGGGGGCAGTGTAAAACAAATTTTTTTTATTTTTGTAAGTAATAAAATATTATTTATAATCCCCCCTCCCTTCCTACCTTTGCCCAGGGAGGGGGGATATCGCTTGTAATCCCTGGTGGTCCGGTGGAATCCCTGGTGGTCCAGTGGTGAGAGTGAACTCTAGCCTGCACCTCCTGAGGCTAGAGTTCACTCTCGCGAGAACAGAGCGTTGCCGTGGTAACCGCGGCAACGCTCCGTTCTCGCGAGAGGAGACCCGGCGGAGCTGCAGGCTAGAGCTCCTCCCGGGTCTCCTCTCTCCGTGCCGGCTGCCCAGTAATATGCCTGCGGACCGATGAGGGAGATCTCTGATCTCCCTCCGGTCCGTGAAGGCACTTAGCAGGGCCGGCGCATTGACAGCACCGGCCCTGCAGGAGAGAACATCGGCTCTCGGGGGGGGGCAATTGCCCCGTTGCCCCCCCCCTGGATCCGCCACTGACCTGACGGCATCACTCTGACAGCCACTAGAGGAACTTCCTGCTTGCAGTCCTGCAAAGATTGCAGGACTGACATTCTATGTTTCCACATAGAGATGCGTCAATGTATCTCTTTAAGGAGACGCTGATTGGCACAGTGAGATAACTGCCACACATGCTAATGGATGTAGCATTTCCATAAAATAAATAATTGACTGATTCCTAATTTAGATGAATGCAATGAAAATGTTAGTCTCTATGGATCTCCCTCGTTCTCTCTCTGCAAACCATAGAGACTAACTGTGCATTTATATGACGGACAGATCCTGTCATATACTAAAGGCAGGGATGAGTTTTTATGTCTTTTTCTCTTCTTTTTTTTGCATATACTTCTTAAAAAATATATATATATATAAAAATTATATAAATAATTTTTAAAAAAAGCAAAGTATTATTATATTAAAAAATAATTTTGAGATGACAGTTGTCCTTTAATGGACCCCTCGCTCTAACCTTACAGATTGGACCGTGAATGTAGAGACCTACATGAACTCTGAATGGAAACAATCTAAAGCTCCAGGGCTGGAAAGAATCCTTAGCATGTGACGGCCTTTAATTCTGATACAGTACGTAAACGTAAAGACGTACTACTCCCACTACTCTTGGAAATTCGCTGTCTTTATTTACTATAAACGCCTCTGTGACGGCTGGCAGCTCAGTCTGTTTTTAGTTTCCAAATGCTGCTTGATTTGTCTCTAAATATCTGCCACTTCACTTCAGAACCAAACATGCTTCTCTTTTCTTGTAATCTTATTCATACACCCGGAAACAATGCACAGAAGCTGTCAAAATGACTCACAATAGAAAACACTAAATAGTAACTTGTGGTGAGCTGAAACCACATTGAAAAAGAGAGTCTAAAATAGCCACGTTGGGGGGGGGAAGGGTAGAAATTTAGAAATGCTCAACTTGGTTATTATGTAATTCCGATTTCTGGTCACCACAGTTACCGGTTTATAAACTTTAATGAGGTTTATTAATAAATCTGCAAATTCTAGAAAATTGACAAGGGTATTGCAAAATTCAGATTAAAGAAGCTCAGCGGGAAAGTAACAATTGAAGAAAATTCCCAGTTTGGCTATTTTTGACCTAAAACTTCCTTGAGGCCAGAAGGCAGCAACCATGGGCTCCTCAGCTTTGTCCAGTCCTCCTGCAGCCTCTGCTCTCCTGTTTGCTGTCAGGGGACCTGTGGCAGCTGCTCCATGTCCCAAAAATGCTGGCAGCCATATTGGAATCCCGGCTGGCGTGGCCACGAGCATGGTGGGCATGGTCTGGGGTGGAGTAAAGACACTGATGCTCTTGGTTACCAGTAATTTGGCTTTCTCCCTGACTTTGTCTCCAGCCAACTCTCCTGACTTTCAGACTGGATTTTATGACTGACTAGCCCACTCCTAATAAATCACCTGTGCCATCACAGACCCACCAACACCCTGTTTCCACCTCCAGGGTACCTTGTGGGTTGTGCTTGTTAGAGACTGTTGTTCTGAATATCACAGTACTGTGCCAAGCTGACTTGGAGCACGCTCTCTGATTAATTGCCACTAGGTGGCAGCAGAGTATTGTGCTAATATTCCACAGGCAAGCTTACTTTGTCAAAATAATCTGTCAAAAGCTATTGATAAAAATGTATAATGCAGTATATTCTCAAACGTCATTGCTTGATTTGGGGGAAGTTAGGCTTCCCCAAACTCCGGCCCTCCAGATGTTGTTGAACTACAACTCCCATAATTCCTAGCCTATCTATTTCATTCATAGAATCATGGGAGTTGTAGTTCAGCAGCATCTGGAGGGCTGGAGTTTGGGGAAGCCTGCTCTAAGTGAAGCATAAAGGGACATGTAAACTAAACAATGAGTGGTATTGAGTTAAAAACTGAATTACATAATCTCCACCTTCACTAAATAGTACAATCACAGCTTGGCTAATTTTGCCTAAATTTCAAATTTAATACTTTTTTTATTTTCAGTTAACCACGTTTCAGTTTTTAGAAAATGAACCATGAATATATATTTTTGGTGAATGTGTATTAAGTTCAGATTAGTATGAACAGATGATATTACTAAACTAATAATGATTCCAATTAAATATCCCACGTTTGTCATGTTTACATTGCTCGACCTTGACATCACGTGATGCGAGCAGCACAGTCCCTTTTGAGATAGGGATATTTACTAGATTAACTTTGGCAAAGGTAAGGCTAACTGTTACTGTTACACAAGAACATGCAAGGTTTGTTGTCCTTAACCATAAGTGGCTAATTGTCAGACTGAATTAATAAGCAATGGAATCGCTGAAGATAGAATTGTATTTCTTCCGCCTGCAATTATAGGGACTAATTGTCACAATTTCTGGTAACGATGGTGTAATATTGTATAATGTGGATTACACAATCATTTAAGCAGTAAAGTTAATTTTATTTTATCACTCGGTCCCTCCACGCTGGAAGCAGTGAATTAAAAAAAAAGAAATTTTTTAACTCTTATGTGGGGTGAGGGGGTGCTAGGCATGGGTATGTAAGATCACTCTCAGAGCTCCCTCTTCACTGTCCTCCAGCTCCACTGGACCACCATGGAATCATGTATCCCCCCTCGTTGCCCACAGGTAATAAGTAAGTGCAGGGAGGGGGGAATAAGTAAGTGACGGGAGGGGGGGGGAATAAGTAAGTGAAGGGAGGGGGGGAATAAGTTAAAATAAAAGACTGCTCACCCCCACAAATTTACTTATCACCACAAGCACACACTGCATGCACTTCACTAATACACACTACATCCACTATACACACGGTGCATCAACTTCCATACACACACTCTGAATCCATTATACACACACTGCACACAAAACAAACTGCATAACATAATGGACGTGGGCGTGCTTTGGTTGGTGTGGTTTTGTTGGGAGGGGGGACAGCATTTCATGCTTAGACCCAGGCAGCACAATGCCTTGGGCCAGTCCTGGTGCTAGGAATACAATTTTGTATTCCTAACACTATAGTGTTCCTTTAACTATGTGTACCTCCCAAGTGTCCTTATTTTGGAGGGACAGTCCCTCTGTCCCACTTTTCTATCCTAATGTGCCTCTATGCTAGGAGTTCCATATTGTTTGCGTGTCTGAGTATAAAACAGAGCTCCACAATAATAACACTCACAGTAATGTGTCTTTAAACTATAAGAAATGTGTTTAATAAGACACACTGTTCTTGTTCTAAATTACATTCTAGTTACATTAATTGTTGTAAGTAAGTCACTTAAAGTTCCTAGTACAGCCCCACACACCACGGAATTTAAGGAGTCCCTCTTTGACCATTTGAAGTGCTGTGAGGTATGAACCAAAATATTACAATTGAATACCATTTTATGTAACTTAATGTGCTAGGTTGCAATTTATATAGAGCCTGGGGTAATGTGCCATCGCTTTATATAGCTAGGAGCCAAAAGGAATTATTTTAGTCTACAGCAGAACTACAACTCCCTTAATGCTCTGCATGCCTTTAGAATGTCAAAGCATCATGGATGTTGTAGTTTTAAAACATTTGGGATCTACCTTTTAGGCAACCCTGCTCTACAGCTCTCTCTATATAGTCTGAGTTGCAAACAATCTTTCCTCTCATATTTAACCATGACATCTATCCTGTATCTTCCAATGTGAGTTCAATGGTAATAATGTGATGCATTGATTTGTGCTGTTTAACCCCTTAAGGATACATGAAATTTGTGACATGTCATGATTCCCTTTAATTCCAGAAGTTTGGTTCTTAAGGGATTAAAGAATACCATCTTCATTTCCTTTATCTGTATACAACCAGTTCTAGAACATATGAATACGAAGGGTATATCATGTTTTGTTTTAAGCTAAAGCACTGCTCATTAGGATGTCTTACTATGACAATGCATACCTTTCACTTAATATTGAGGAGACACAGTGTTTATGTGATATTTTCTTTGTCACACCCTAATCCCCGCTGCACGCCTATGTATTGAGACCGGCAGGGGAGATCTCAGGATCTCCCCTGTTGGCTCATGCAGAGCCAGTGCTATCCAAGCGCCGGCTCTGCTCTCAGCCTCCCTCCCCACAGCAGCATGGAGAGAAGCAGGAGAGGACCCGGGGAGCTCAACCAGCAGCTCTGCCGGGTTCCTCTCGTGAGGTAAGAGCGTTGCCACGGCAACACTCAGATCTCGCGAGAGTGAACTCTAGCCCCAAAGGCTAAAGTTCACTCTCCACTGGACCACCAGGGATGGCAGCAGCACGATCCCCCCTCCCTACATAAGGTAATAAAGGAGGGGGGATATTAAGTACTGTATCCCCACCTCCACCCCCCCACAATCACCCACACACACAGCACCTACACACATACAGCACACACACAGCACCTACACATACAGCACCCACACACACACACACAGCACCCACACACATACACAGCACACACATACACACAGCACACACACAGCACCCCCACACACACACAGCACCCCCACACACACACAGCACCCTCAAACCCACAGCACCCTCAAACACACACAGCACCCTCACATACACAGCACACTAACAGGACCCTAACAAACACACACACACAGCACCCTCACACACACATCACACTAACAGCACCCTCACACACACCCTCAAACCACCCTCACACAGCACACACACACACAGCAGTGTGTGTGTATATATATACACACACACACATACATATACATGCGGCGTGTGTTTGTGCTTTAGGGTGCACACCCTAATGCAATAGGCTGCGCACGCCTATGACTACTCTTGGTATTTTTGCAGATATTTGTCATTTCAGCTCTGAACCATTGTATGTTTAAACATTAAATATAACCTTTCTCTCCTTTGTTAGATATTGATCACCCCTGCTGCTACTCAAAACACTTGCACAACTGGGAGTTTGGTTCACATGCACTTAAGAAGATCATCAAAGAACTCTGGCGGATGATCGCCAGCCTGAGAAAAGATTGGATCCTCATTAAAAAAATATATATAAAAAGTAAAATAAAAATAATGCTCTGATCTATTGATCAGCCACAACATTAACAGCCACAACATTAAAACCACCTGCCTAATATCATGAAGGTCACCCTTGTGCTGCCAAAACAGCGCTGATGCGTCGAGGCATGGACTCTACAATGTGTCCTGTGATATCTGGCACCAACATTAGCAGCAGATCTTTTAAGTCCTGCAGGTTGTGAGGTGGGGCCAAAATGGATTGGATTTCAGCACACCACACAGATCCTCAATTGGATTGAGATCTGAGGAATTTGGAGGGCAAAGGCAACACCTTGAACATTCTGTCATGTTCCTCAAACCATTCCTGAACAATTTTTGCAGTGTGGCACGATGCATTATCCTGTTGAAAGAGACCACTGCCATCAGGGAACACGATTGTATCCCAGCAGAACATTGCCCATTGCATAGCACTGCTTCCACTGGCCTGTTTTCTGCCCATTAGTACATACTGCTGCCATCTTTTCCCCAGGATAATGACACACACGCACTTAGCCATCCACCTGATCTAAAAGAAAACAGGATTCATCAGACCATGCAACCTTCTACCATGGCTCCATGGTCCAACTGTGAAGCTCATGTCCCCATTGAAAGTGCTTTCGGTGGTAGACAAGGATCATCATGGGCACCCTGACTGATCTCTGGCTACGCAGCAAACGGCGACGGTGTGTTCTCACACCTTTGTATCATGGCCAGCATTACGTTTTTCAGTCATTTGAGCTACAGTAGCTCTTCTGTGTGATTGCACCAGACGGGCTAGCCTTCACTCCCCACATGTATCAATGAGCCTCGGGTTCCCATAACCCTGACATTGGTTTACTGGTTGCCCTTACTTGCATCACTTTTGGTAGGTACGAACTACTGCATACCATGAACACTTCACAAGACTTGTCTTTTCGAGATGCCCTGTCAAAGTAATCTAGCCATCACTATTTGACCCTTGTCAAAGTCACACAGATCTTTTCGCTTGCCCATTTTGTTCTGCTTCCATCATATGAAATAGAACAACTTGCTACCTAATATATCCCACCCCTTGGCAGGTGCCATTGTAATGATATAATCACTGTGATTCACTTCACCTGTCAGTGGTTTTAATGTTGTTGCTGATCAGTGTAAATGGTCACCTATGAACATGGCCTGGAGTCTTATAAGTTTATTTAGATGCGTTATGGATTATTGATCTAGTTTTTTTTTTTTATTATCTTTTTGTTTATAGAAAGATTTCACATAGGCATCAAAACAAACAGATATATGATAATAAAGAAACAAAATCATTATAAGTTATAGTTTATAATGCAGCATTTTTATAAAACAAACTTTATACATTTGAGTAATAATGTAGTGGTATAATGTATTAAAGCAGCAGGTTAAAAATAAAATTTTAAAAATGAGAACACTCTTTGCATTTAATAACCTCTCATATAATTCCAAAGTATACTTGACACAGGACACTGAATTAAAATGGAGAAATGAATAAAGAAAAAAGCTTTAACTCCAGACAGCCTGGCCCTTATATATTGGGAAAGTCTGTGTTTATACCAGATCACTCAAAATAACACAACTGCTTGACGCAAACCAGGGAGCATGCACCCAAAGACGCTTTGCAAAAACAAAACTACATTGATCTGTAGTGATTATGGTGTTTTGGGTTCCACTGAGGGTGTTTTCAAATTGTTTCTTTCTTCTTTGGGTGTGATTCATATGCGAGAAAGGCTGAACGTGATGGACACAAGTCTCTTTTCAGCTATGTAACTATGTCATTCCTTTTAGTTTGATAAAATTGATGTATAGTAGACTGAAACGTTTGACCTCTTGCTTTTTAAAACTGGTCTAAATTTTAAGAATTTAAGAGGATTCCATCTTATGTATGTGCGCATATATATATAATTATAATAACTTCCTCCCGGACCGTTATTAACATGATTTTGGTCTCCTTTTGTTTTTTATATTGGCTGTAAATGTTAGAGGCATAAAGGTTGATAGGTTTGGCTCTGAATGTGCCCGATGCCTGAATGGTGGTATCTTGGGCCATCTGCTAGATGCCTGATGTGCCATTTCTGTTATGCAATGGTATTTAACAGGAAGTTGATTGCAACGGACTACTGGCTTCAACTCCAATCTTGTGTGAGCATTATTTCCTGTTACTGGAGTCAGCCGTATTATCTTCCAGTATCCTGATTGGTTTAATGTCCTGTTCCAGTTTTGATCTCTGTCTGTGACCCCAGCCATGACTGCGTGTTTCCTGCCTTGTCCTTTGATTGTGAGCAGGACTTTATTACGTCTACATTCTGAGTGAGCATCTGATTCACAATCTCATTTTTACCATTGCTGTTTGATTGTGGGTTTCTGCAGATTCAGCAGATAGAAGAGCATTTAATATTTGCTCAGGACAAAATGGAGTATCACAAGTCTGACCAATCGGTGCAAACGCTGTTGAGTGAGCCAGGGAAAATGAGATTTTACTACTTCCTAACACAGGGGCAATATGATCAGGAACTGCAGAACATGCGGAGCCCCCTGCCTAGTCGAAGCTTCATTCACTGTAGTGATGCCAATGTGCATACCATGTTTCTCAAACAGGAACTGAACTATTTAAGGCATAAAGCCCAACAAATGGCTCTGAACTACTTGTAGGTATGTCAGCCCTCCCATGACTCCCCCCCTTAAAAATTTTTTAAAAAAACACAGAAAACAAACGTGTAAAATAAGCTTAAACCCCACCTTGAATCCAGCACTGGGCCAAGTTATCCAATATCCTTTCCACTCACATTGCATCATTGGTTCCCTCTCCGAGGTCCAATCAAATGCTTCTTATAGAGAAGCATTGTTGGACCTTGGATGCATGCATGACAATTGCCCTGACCCGCCAAACAGCTTCTTCTGAAAACAAGCAGAGACAGGGATTGTGTTTTAAACTGAAACTCTGGGAAAGTTGTGTAAATGTGATTTCTTGAGTTCCTGTGCCCAGGACAGACTTAACAAACTGGAGTACAACAGTATTTTTCTATTTGCACCGTGGGGAGTCTTATTGCGTTTGGCCTCACCAGACTATTTAGCACCTAGCTACTCTCTCTCAGAAAGGCTTCAATTTCCAAACCAAAACCAACTTCATGCTGATGTGACTTACAAGCTCCAAATGGTACCAGTCCAAGGCTGGTTTCTAGTCACTAGTCTTTTTGGGTCACAACCCACACTATGGTTTAAAAAATCTGTGTTTAAAACAGCATCCATCGCTAAATGTGTATTTGTTGAAATTCAGGGTAAAGTCTGAAACACAATGCTTGTCTGTCCTCATTTGCATTTCAAGCTGGGGACTCTGAGATAATTGTAGGAACATGATTTATTGAGTTTCGGTGACCAAGGGGACTTTCCAACATGAGATATGCAGGTGACACGCAACAGTAATTATTCTACATATAGAACTTTTTAGAGAATTTAGGAATGAGTAACTGCAGACAATACCAATATAATAAAAACCCTGGATGTATGAGAAGAGCACAGAGTACTAATTTATATACAATATAAGAATTACACTCAGGTTAAAAATGTGTGGCATGGCTAGTTGTGCAACTGACCAGATATGTCTGTGTGGAGCTCTGGTTCCATATACTAGATCATAGCCCCTTTGCCACAATATTCAAAATGTTTTATGAGCAGACATCACCTTCTATCCCCTTACAGAGAGATGTGGTAAAAACAAATTAGCCCACTCTGAGAGCTCCCACATGCCTGATATAAATTTGTCCTTCGACAGTCTGAAACTGGGAGGTCACGAGGCTTCAGCAAATCGGAATTCTCCCAAGATGAAGAGACCCCCAAAGCCTCGCAAGCCCCAAATGGAGTGTACTGGAGAACAGATTCAGATACAGATTCTTCTACTACTCGACATAAGTCTGGAAAGTAGACCTTGCTGGGTGCAGACGGAGACAAGTGGACTTCTCCAACAAAATGGTGATGTTGAGTCCCGAGAGGAGAAATGAGAGGGCGGTGCTAAAATATATCCAATCTCAGCTGGAATTACTTTTTCAATAGGTCCGAGGACTTTCCCATACCTTCACTTGGGCACAGCACCACCATTGAAATGTCCGGATCCGTGAGGCACCAGAAATGGTGGCCCTGGAAGCTTTGCTGGACTTTGCAAATAATGTGACACAGGCATTGGTGGTGAGAGGGGATGGCAGATATTTGCCAATAATGTCAGTGTTCCGAATTAGGAAGGCTTCAGCTGCCCCTGCGGATGCACCCAGGAATATAATTGCTGTCACTCAGGACATTTCTGTCAAAACCGCTTTTACAAATTGCTCCATAAACCATCCCAGCATCACTATAGAAAATTGTTCTATTAAAGGGACACTCCAGACACCAGTACTACTTTAATGCATTTGAAAGGTTTTGGACTCATTAATATGCTGTATTTTTTCGCATGCTCAAACCTTTATAGTTTTTGCATCAAATAAATCATTCCCTGCAATTGCAGGACCCTCCTTATGACACTTTTTAAAAATGAGAGGATCTCATGATGACAGCAGGGTCACACGACGTCTCATACACAGGCTATAATCACATTCTGTATTACTTTATGCCTCAGTTTATACTCGCTGATTTATACTCTGACACGTGAATGTTATACCTTTTTATGTTCTATTTTTTAGCATTTAATTGCCTTGTTGTCTATTTTTCTTGCATAAAAAAAAAACCATCTGAACAATATGGCTTTAATGGTCCTAACTGATACATTCCACATCAAAAGTAAAAGCAACTATACACAATGCGTATAACCTCCAAAGCCAACCCTGTGAAGGGAAAAGTTATATTACCAAATGTGTTTTTCTAAGAGGAAAGAAGATTTGGAACAAGTTTATATTATCTGTTCCAGTAAGGATAATCCATGAGAAGTCAAAGGCTCATAGTGTAAGTGGATGCAATTATTGCATCAGTGTTTCAGAGAGTGAGGGTATGTTAGAGCTCGGAACATTCAAGTATGTGATGAGTCCCTTTAAGGGAATATATACCATTGAATAAAACATTGAGAATCACATTTTTAAACGTGAGATACTTGTTTTTCTTTGAACATTATAATGCAGATTTAGAAGATTTCATAGGATGTAGTTCAAACAGGTCAAATCCAGGGTAAGCATTGCAAATAAAGAGGAGAAACATAAATTTTAGAACAACAACATAGGGGGAAGTGCAATAAGGGGTTAACACTTAGTTTAAAAAATTAAGAGAGATGAGAACAAAACGCCCTATCCAACTAGGTTTCTTATGATGTTTAAACATACACTTTAATATGATTGATAAAACATAACAGTTAAAGGGACACTGTAGGCACCCAGACCACCTTTGCCCATTGGAGTGGTCTGGGTGCCAACTCCCACTACCCTTAACCCTGCAAGTGCAATTATTGCAGTTTTTTTATAAACTGCAATAATTACCTTGCAGAGTTAACTCTACTAGACAGCCACTAGAGGGCACTTCCATGTCTATAGCACAGATTTTCAATGCTTTCCTATGGAGAGCTCTAATGTGCATGCGCGGCATTGTCGCACATGCGCCTTAGGTCTCCCCGGCGGGCGGGATCAGTCTTCACCCCTTCAGCAACCAGATTGTTTTCCTGGCACTGGAGAGTCCCTTTAATCAAAATTCTATTAAAAAGTATACAAAAATATATAATCAAAAAAGTAAAAAATGATAAGGAAATAAGGAAAAGAAAAAAGAGAAATTAGGGATATTTACAAAATACACTCCAATTCCTAGGTATCTGGAACCAGATAAAGGGATATGTGTATGTAGTTTGGGCAGTTTTACATTAACATACTCCTACTATAGGGTATCCTTTCAACACTTATAATCAAATTAGTAGTAAAACCTCTTAAAAGTAACAGAGTATCTGCAAATGTAACGATTCCCTGAGAATCAGATTGAGTGAAATGATTGTATCAATTTATCAGCTGAGGTTTGTAACTATAACGTGAAGAAATATATACAGTTTTGTAACTAGTGGGACTACACCCAAAGGGAAGACAGTATGCTTCCTACTAAAGTGTCTTTCTTATGTACCCAATAAAAAAATGCGATCTGGTTAAGAATTAGAGGTAGTGAAACGCTAATATAAAAGCTTTTCATTGGCTGCTCAAATTGTTTCTTTTTTATGCTTGTAACATGTTTCGACATCAGTTCTAAAACATTCACTTTTTATCTGCAAAGCCACGTGTTAAACCAGTAATAGCTAACATTTTGCCCTCCAGCTGTTTACGTCTTGTAATGCTCAGAAAGCTGAGAGGTTCTCAACAGCTGGAGGGCCCAAAGTTGGCTATCACTGGGATAAACAGAAGGGGTTTTGTGTTCACATATCTCAGTCTGTATTCTAAACATTGCTGAGATGTCAGAGTGCACAATCAGAGGGTGATTAGTTAGAGCACGGGATGACTGCGTGATAAAATCCTCCCAAATTATAGTCTTGTACACACAACAAGTAGAGTGTTCAGTAAGCAAAGGGTCATTGTTGTCACATTCATTAAATATGTTATGCCCACAAGTATGAATGGAACATGACTGTTACTGAGTAAAGAAAACTTTTTATAGCTCAGTATGTATTAATCATACGAGTTTGGACTCGGGTGACAGAGCTGTGACTGTTTATTGTTCTATATTGTAAATATAAAAAAGTAGAAAATGTTACGTTCAGAGCAGTAACTGTAAACATTTTGCTATTGATGTGTTGTGATGCAATCAGTGATTTTTTTGTTAATGCATAATTCTATACAAATAAGACTTTTCTGTCATTAAAGGACCACTCTAAGCACCCAGACCACTTCAGCTTAATGAAGTGGTCTGGGTGCCAGGTCCCTCTAGGGTTAACCCTTTTTTTTATAAACATAGCAGTTTCCGAGAAACTGCTATGTTTATAAATAGGTTAATCCAGCCTCCAAATCCTCTAGTGGCTGGCTCATTGACAGCCGCTAGAGGCGCTTGCGTGATTCTCACTGTGAAAATCACAGTGAGAACACGCAAGCGTCGATAGGAAAGCATTGTAAATTCTTTCCTATGAGACCGGCTGAATGCGCGGAGAGGAGGCGGAGAGGAGGAGGAGAGCTCCCTGCCCGGCGCTGGAAAAAGGTAAGTTTTAACCCTTTCCTCTCCCCAGAGCCTGGCACTATAGTGGTCCTTTAATATAATAAAAATAAAAACTAAGAACCGTACTACAGGTGTTACGAAGGTTGGAATTTAGATGAAGAGATGCAAGTAAGATGAAGATGCAAGGGTGCGTATGGATGGAAATATATCGATCAAACAAGGAGTGGGCAGGGGAAATGTAAATTATGCACCAATAATGCAGGCATATCAGTCTGGTGTAGTATTTGCAATGGACTGAATGTTCACTCTAACAGCAATCTCCCCCCAGGTCTGCCCAGCTTGCAGAATGCTGTTAATATGCTCAGTTACATCACATTTAAAGGGGCACTATAGTCACCAAAACAACTTTAGCTTAATGAAGCAGTTTTTGTGTAGAGGTCATGCCTCTGAAGACTCACTGCTCAATTCATTACCATTTAGGAAATTTAAATTACTTTTGTTTCTGTTTATGCAGCCATAGTCACACCTCCCCCCTGGCTATGACTGACACATCCTACATGAAAACAAAATGGTTTCATTTTTAATCAGATGTAACTTTAAAAGTTTTGATCTCCTGCTCTGTAAATTTAACTTTAATTACTTACAGAAGTCTCCTGCGTGATCTAGCAAGCTATTAACAGAGCAGGAGATAAGAAATTATAAATTAAACAGAATTTGTAATACAGGAAAGAAGGGATTTATATTGATACGTTGCATATTTTAATCATTATGGGGTCAGACATTTAGAGAATGAAAGCATGTTACTGGAAACTGGCTTGATGGATCCAGGATAATTGGCAGGTATTGCAATGAACTGACTGGTTATCGTATCCTATGGAAAAATACTGTATAAGACTAACGTTTGCTTATTTGTACTGAGTTATGGTGATAAGGGCTTGTCAAAAACAGCTCTGTGCCAGCAAACCTGATATATGTTCTGGAACTTTAAGTACCTATGAAAATATAACAAAACAAATAAACAAAAAAACATCACTTCCTGGTAGGATCGTTAAGGGTGTGCCCTTGCAAGCAACAACCTGATAGAACCCTGGGTGTAACTGTCAGTGCAAGAGTAACATCTGAAATACTGACATGGTTACTGGGATCATGGGCCCTTAGAGGATCACTCAAAAGAGTATATATCTGTTTTTTTCTAACCGCCTACTAGCTATACCCCAAAATAAGATATGTATTTTCTTTTGCATGTTTTTTAGGGGTTATATAAACTAAGCTTGCAACGGCTGCAGATCTAGTGTCTGCTGTTACTGCATGCTATACGCTTTTCCACCTTATTGTTTTTTCGGGTCCTGCCCCGCCTTCACCACTGACCTGCCAATAATTTGCGTAGACCTGCTCCCTTTGGAAGGAGCCAGCATAAAGATTGATTTTCGGGTCGCCAATGTTGAGGAGGAGGCATATGCTACAGGAAGTGGAATGAAATCTTTCTGGTTATTTGTTGACAGCTGGGAAGGTGTTAAAACATTGATTTATAGAAATCAGTACTTTTATAAAATTAAAAACTAAAGATTACTGACTCTTATCACATAACGCATGTTTGAAGTATTTCTTTAAAGGACCACTATAGGCACCCAGACCACTTCAGTGCAATGAAGTGGTCTGGGTGCCAGGTCACCTTAGTTTTAACCATGCAGCTGAAAACATAGCAGTCTCAGAGAAACTGCAATGTTTACACTGCAGGATTAATCCAGCCTCTAGTGGCTGTCTCCCTGACAGCCACTAGAGGCCGCTTCCGTGATTTACACGGAGTAAATCCCACTTATTTGATGCTGGTCGTCCTCACGGGGTCCAGCATCTAAAAAGATCCCCTTAGGAAAGCATTGAGTAATGCTTTCCTATGGGTGGGTTTGAATGAGCGCGCCTCTGGCCGCGCATGCGCATTTAACTCCACTTGGAAGCTGACGTCGATGGAAGAGGAGAGGTCACCATTGCTGAAGGAGCCCGGCGCTGGACTAAGGTAAGCAAATAAATGGTTAACCAATTATTCACCACAGAGCGGGGCCCTAGTCACCACGGTGGCCCTATATAAATAATACAATAATAATACATATTTGTATTCCTAATGCTAAAGTGTTCCTTTAAACATCACTAGGCAGCTGCCAATTTGTAGACTAGTAATTCAGTTGTTGGAGCAATGTTTGTGTTTGTTTATTAAGACAGTCAATTTATCAGCACACATAGGGATTTAGATGTTTATTGCACAGAAAAAAACAATCCCAATACATCATGGGAGAGGAGTGTCAGATCAAAGCATTTCTTTATCTGTTTAAACTGATTGATATATAAACACTTTGAACTCATGCCTGCCTATCTTCTAATGTATATAAGCATTTTATGACCGTTCTGTGTTATCAGGTTATGAGTAGACATTCTACAAGCTTTCAGTCTTTATTTAAGTTTAATTCGACTTGGTGTGGGTGGCTGTAGGCGCAGGGCTTTCACTAAGGGATGGGTTTTCAACCAAACGGAGGAACTTGGGTCACAGTAACTTGAAAAAACGATTTAAACTTAAATTTTATAAATCACTTCTTAATTCACCGCAGTTCACTGTTTTGTGAATAAACTCCAGGATGGGGAGTTAATTTGCCTCCCAGCATGTTTTGTTGTTTTGCAAGGTATTTAATATATCTATTCCTAGAAGTATTAGTCATTGACAAGTGAAAACATAGCAGCTGACAGGGGCCCCAATGTTTGCTAACACTTGCAGCAGGCTATACATGTTCACTTATTGATACAGGAAAAACTTGCTAGTGCCCAGCATGTCATGTAAAACATGCTTAATTTCATTTCCAGCCAATCTGATAACAGCAAAGTACAAATGACCCTTGAAATATTTTATGTAATTCACGATAAACATAAAACCTCTCTCTGCGTATCGTGTTTTACCAGCTGGAGCACAGGGCTAAGGACAAAGAATTCGATATATGATGACGGAAAAAATGAACCGAAAGACATATGAGATTGAGAGGTGCATTTGCAATATATTATGCTCTACACATACCTACATACAATGTAGGTACCAGAATGATCACCATCCTTTTCACATGCAACGCCACTGCTATAAGCCACAGCAGCTGGGTAGACATGCGTCACACTAAGGCCCGATTCTATTATACAAATATTGCAGCTGTGAACACTCACTTTTCACTATTAAGAATATTTCCAGTTGCAGAGGGAACAATTGTGGAACTAATGAACAGAAGGCCCTGGTGTAAGAAATGTTTGCCCTCCCTCTGCATAGGGCAATGGCTGGCATAAGGGTCAGTCTTTGATTGTTGCACAGCTTTGCTTTGCCAAACTTAAAGGGGCACTCTTGGCACCATAACCACTTCAGTTTATTAAAGTAGTTATTATGCAGTTGTACTTTTTCTGCATCCTTTCCAAAATAGGGCCTGAGTTGGCAGTTAGTCCTGGTCTTTTTTGACCCATTTGTCAACTGTAACATAAAATGTAAACCAAAAAAATGATCCAAAAATCTTTGTTAGACTTTTTAGAGTGTCGCAATGGGTCTCCAATGTCTAGGGAAGGCTACTACAATAAGCAATAGGGTTTCTTCACTAATCACTAACTTGTGGCTGAATTGAAAGCCAAATTGAAAAAAATTGTTAAAATGACTATAGCGGAGTTGGTGAGGTTTAGCAGATCAGTTATACTTGCTGATATTTTGTAAATCCGTTTTCAGTTCTCTACAATATACTGTAGTGTTTACTGAAAATCCCTAAAGTATTGTGGGTGGTTGCCTGAGGTCTTATGAATATGAAGTACCAGTTTCAAACATTTCTGGGGGCAAATGACATAGCACGGGACATAAAGAACTGATAATTCTTCGAAACTCTCAGCCCAGATTTGAGTAACAAAATTCATGGATCGCGCAAAAAAACCTGCAATATTTGATTACACACATTGTAAAAACTGGTGTTACCGACTTCATACCTGCATCTATTTTCTCCTACTTTGCCACATTCTTATGCATAAATCTCATGATCTCATCTTACATGTTGTTTTCTTTTCGGATAGCGCAAATATTTTCTGCGACTTAGCCATACAGGGAGCGAAGGAGAGAATCTGACAGAAAAAAAGAGGCACAGTGAAGCACCTTTTTGATACAAAGTAAGCTTGACAATACTGATGCTAAAATTAGATCAGAGATGTAGCAAATGAGGGGAATAAATAAGTGCAAACAGTAAATGTGACAGAAAAGCGGAAAGAAAACTATTACTTTTTATAAATTGCTCCCTTTGTGTGCATAAAATGTTTTAGAGCGGTGGAGCGGGGCCTCACAGCCATGCCGGACAGACGTATCCTGAGTGAGTTCCAGCACTTGAACTGCTAGAATGCATGGTTACTGCTGTCTATACCCCCGACCCCTTTGGTGCTCCTGGATCAAGTGGGGATATCCCTAAGCATGTCCGATGTCTTCAAGTGTCCACGCTGATGGAGAGCTGAATTTGCAGCCAGGTGTGCCTGGAGGGGAGGAAAAGAGGCCGATCTCTGCTTCTGATCCGCGCAGCTGTTTCGTGACCCATTTCCTCCCCTTGGACCCGCAGGAAGTTCCCTATCCAAGTTGAGGGCGCGCGGCACTATCGTAACAAGTTACACTCACTCCGCCTCATTCAAGATGGCCGCCGCCGCGTGCTCCTCAGATCCCTGCAGAGGATGTCTTGCACTTGCTGAATGAACCGGTCAAGTCCAGTGGATAGAGCTGGGATGAGTGGAGCGAAGAGACACGCCTTGCAACATACCTGAGTGCTGTGTGGAGAGTGGAAGACCCTTTCTTGACTGGGCTGAAGCTACGAGAAACACAGTGTACACCAGCTGAGACCAATGATGAGCCTGGAACACGCTCTCTGGCATTGGGTCCTAATGCTGCTTCTGATGTTATTAAGCTGCTGCTTGACTCTTACTTCTCTGTATGCAGGGCATAAATTTCTTGCCTACATGGGGGGCCTCCTGGGGGTTTCACTCTTTGACAAAGTTGTGTGCAGGGGTCAAGTCCTGGGGAATAAAGTGTGGGAACTCACCCAAGATCAACCGCCCTTCCTCCTCCCCCCCAAAAAATAATATACACTCGTATGCCTATATAAACATGTACACACACACACTAACAGACACACATACACTCACAGACACACACATACACTCATACACAAACACACACACTCACAGAAACACACAAATCATTATTTTTTTAAATTTAGACATGTCCACCCAGCCTCTCTACCTGGAGAGCTGGCGTGGACCTGTCCCTGGGGTCCAGTGGGGCTTCAGTGCGGCAGGCGCCTGTCTCCCTGTCAGACGCATCAGGGGAAACACGGGGGCATTTGAGAGGGGCATTTTTTGCCACCTCCTGAGAGCCTGCAGGAGCAACAGGAACGGCGTTCCTGCTGTAAAAAAAGTGCAGGAACACCGTTCCCACGCGTTCCTGCAGGACTCGAACCCTGGTTGTGTTTTACAGCCACTAATTTTTTTCATACTTAGAATCTTCTCTCAGTGCATACGCTCTGCTCGCCTATCTGCCTCTTGTTATTAAGGTTAGCGCAGTGTTAATTTCATCTTGTATTCCAAAACAAAAGTGCTGTTTCCTATTTACCCATTGTTTGCTAGAAGATATATTTTATTATTAACTTTACACTGTCTGATATAATCTTGTTATTGCTTAGCACATCAAAAATAAAGAATTGAAAAAATGTTTGTTTTTTTTTTCAGCTAGTTTGTTTTCAATTGTGTCCTAACTACTTTGCATAGCAACAGTGCTTCATTGCCGGAGTGAGCAAAATTCATGCAATTTTGAAGCAAAAGTCACCGACAAACACCTCACCAGATTTAGCATTGAAAAGTTGTGAACTTGTGTTAAGAAAATAAGTATAGTATTTAGTATTTAAAGTCTGTGAGATTTATACTGTGAAGCAATGGGTTAAGTTACTGATTTTGTTATTTGAGCTTGGGACAGCTTTGTGGATGTGTTTCCCATAACTCTATGCAAACCTGGCTTAGCTTAATAAACAAGTATTGCTTCATTTCACCCTCATTCTTCATGAGTTTAACAGAATGTACTCTCAGGAGTTACGTACACACCCAGTGACTTCACAATGAAAAGGAAGTATTTATCTCACATTACGATCTTCTGTTTACTTTTCATTTGTTTTGTTTTTTTTAATTTCTAGTCTTCGTTCTGTGTTTGCAAAATAGAAAATGAAAATAAAAAGGACAATGCGTCTAGTTATTTACTGTTAAACAAGTTGAAATCTCATAAGCCGGCTGCAGGGCTCTTGTTCATAAAATAATAGATTTAGGGTTTATTCACTAAATAGTGTATTATGGTGGATTGCAAAGGAAAATATATTACTGTTTCCAGAATAAAGGATAGAGTAATGGCCATTGGTCTGTCTCTGTGCTGACTCGTTCTAATTACAATATAACTGCACGCAGGGACGGGAGTATGATGCCATGTAAATACTAGAGGCAGCCATTTTGTATTTGTATTTTTATAGGCAGCAATTTTTATAAAAAGCACAGATGTGGTGAGGGTCAGCGTAATTCATTCTGCTGCGTCTGGTCCCATCTGTCAGGGTAGCCAGGGCCGCCATCAGGGGGTGACAACCATGACGGTTGTCACAGGCCCGGAGGCCCTGGGGGGCCCGGCCGCCCGGGCCCCATGTGTATCTGCGGATGTATGCATCTGCACCGGGGCACACACGCTGATGTTGCCCATCAGGTGGCCCAAGCATTTAGGGCCACCCAATGGGCCCTATTATCTTCAGGGGCCCGGTCAGCGCTGTAATAGCGTGACCGGGACCCTTTAAAAAAAAAAAATGCAGCCGGAAAGCAAGTGCTGCTGGGAGGAAGTGACGTCCGGTCACTTCCTCCCAGTTTACTCCGTGTGGGAAGGAGGAGAGAAAGCATGAAGGCCGCGAGGAGAGGCAGCCGACTCACATCATCCCCAGCCACCCTCCTGCGATGAAATGGTAAGGCTGAAAATGAGGTGTGTGTGTGTATGTATGTATGCCAGTGTATGTATGTATGCCAGTGTGCGTCTGTATGTATGTATGCCAGTGTGTGTATGTATGTGTGTATGTATATATCAGTATGCAGTAGGTATGTATGTTTGTCAGTATGTATGTCTGCATGTATATGTGTGTGTGTGTGTGTCAGTATCTTCCTATGCATGTGTGTATGTCTGTTTCAGTATTTGTATCTGTTAGTGTGTGTGTATTCCTGTGGGCGGGATTTGGGGGCGGGCCCTGTGGGCGGGCTTGAAGGGGGGCCCAGACCTTGAGCTGTGTTAGGGGCCCCAAAATTTCTGATGGCGGCCCTGAGGGTATCTGCTCCATTCCGGCATCAATCTTACACCTGCTGCAACTCCCAGCATCCTTCCAGTGTTAATTTCGGTGCAAGCCACCCAAAGTTTACACATACTGAGACCAAAGTGACTCCACAAATCAATCCAGCATCATAAGGGACATGCACCACTCAGGTTACGCTCATTATGTACACAAGAATTACGCAAGAATGGTATAATTTTGTCATTCGGCGGTAAAACAACCACATTCTTTAATGCAGGCTATACTTTTTTTTCCAGCAGTTTGTAATTAGATGATGCTCTATGATTATATACACACAGTGGGCAATGGCACTTGCCAAGACATAAAAACAAGTAAATGCAAAGGGGTCAGAGAGAAATTGATTTATTTATTCTTTTAAAATGTTTTACAAGCTTTGAAGGTCTGGTCTATTCTATATTGATCTATGACTACGGCCCTCCTCCCCTATAATGGGTGAAATGCATTGGGTGTTGAACAGTAGTTTTGCACATTTGCTAAAACACTAATTTTACTCTTTGTTATAAAATAAAGTCTGCCTTTTATAGAGATTAACTACAGCCTCTACCCCACCTTTCCTCACCGAGAGTACTAGGCTCTTTGACCTTTAACATTAATTGTTAAACTTTACTAATTTGCACCTAATGCAAAGTGATGAACAATGCATTAATAACTGCTATTATTCACCAAGGAATGGTACACACCAAAATACAAGAGCTCACTTATAAACTCATCAGTGCTGGCGATGCGGCAGCTCAGACCCGGCCCCGAGTGGTAAAGACCCACCTTCCCATCCTCTCCCCCACCCCCATTCTTCCCCCTCTTTTTTCTCTTTCTTTCCTCTCTTCGCTCTCCCTCTCTCATTCCACCCTTTCACACTTCCACTTCTGCCTACCCGTCCCCACACTGTTCCTTGCACACCCATTTCACCCATCTTGTTCGTTAAATAGTAGACACAACTCTGGGCAGTAATGCATATCGACTAAACCTGACAGGCGCCACAATGAGAAAATATCTTAATTTCACAGTCTAAAAGTAAGCAAGCTGTCATTTCTCCTTCCCGAGAAACTCGCTCAACGGGAAACGTAGCAATGGATTGTAGCATATTGAATTGCCATGTGATTTAGATACAGCCACTTGTATTACTATCTTCCTGATATAAGAGGCTAACACGAATATGGTTTAACTCACCCCATTAAACCGTCTCTGAGACACTGCAACTCTGATTACACGAAATATCCTGATAGTTATGGTACATAATTTATTGTATTGTGACATTATATCTGAAATGCCTCCCTTGTCGTGTGCTACTGTATAATCTAAAAATAAAGACTGTCAAAAAAAAAAAAATAACTCCTATTATAATGACCTTTAATGAATTGGCCCATTAGGTGTTATTAGACAATCATTTTGGGTTTTCACACACCGCATGATAAATACCCAGCCCAATAGGTCATCTCTTGACCTAGTTACTCAATATAATGTTGTGTCATGGTAACAATAAAGAATGACTCAAGTAAGCCATAAAACAACAGACCACAAGGAACAGGGTGTGTATATTGGCTTATGTGTAGTACTTTAACAAAGTTTACAAGAATCAGGAAGTCAGACACGAGCAAGCATGTATAGAATTATTATGACACATTTATTTAAACATTCTGTCTCTTGATAAACTGTGTGTGTGGGTGTATATACACAAATTTCTCCAGTTTAAATATATTTTCTCTGAACAGTACTTCCGTCATCCCTTTAGGCTGACATAGGAGTTTGCCATACACAATATACCTTGAAAAACAGTACCCACATCCTAAGTCCTCTAACCATAATTCGAATATATTCAAATATATTCGAAGCTTGGACTTGACACCAGTGGGGTACCTCAGGGATCTGTACTTGGACCCATTCTCTTTAATATTTTTATTAGTGATATTGCAGAAGGTCTTGATGGTAAGGTATGTCTTTTTGCTGATGATACTAAGATATGTAACAGGGTTGATGTTCCAGGAGGGATAAGCCAAATGACAAATGATTTAGGTAAACTAGAAAAATGGTCAGAATTGTGGCAACTGACATTTAATGTGGATAAGTGCAAGATAATGCATCTTGGACGTAAAAACCCAAGGGCAGAGTACAGAATATTTGATAGAGTCCTAACCTCAACATATGAGGAAAGGGATTTAGGGGTGATTATTTCTGATGACTTAAAGGTAGGCAGACAATGTAATAGAGCAGCAGGAAATGCTAGCAGAATGCTTGGTTGTATAGGGAGAGGTATTAGCAGTAGAAAGAGGGAAGTGCTCATGCCATTGTACAGAACACTGGTGAGACCTCACTTGGAGTATTGTACACAGTACTGGAGACCGTATCTTCAGAAGGATATTGATACCTTAGAGAGGGTTCAGAGAAGGGCTACTAAACTGGTTCATGGATTGCGGGATAAAACTTACCAGGAAAGGTTAAAGGATCTTAACATGTATAGCTTGGAGGAAAGACGAGACAGGGGGGATATGATAGAAACATTTAAATACATAAAGGGAATCAACACAGTAAAGGAGGAGACTATATTTAAAAGAAGAAAAACTACCACAACAAGAGGACATAGTCTTAAATTAGAGGGACAAAGGTTTAAAAATAATATCAGGAAGTATTACTTTACTGAGAGGGTAGTGGATGCATGGAATAGCCTTCCAGATGAAGTGGTAGAGGTTAACACAGTAAAGGAGTTTAAGCATGCATGGGATAGGCATAATGCTATCCTAACTATAAGATAAGGCCAGGGACTAATGAAAATATTTAGAAAATTGGGCAGACTAGATGGGCTGAATGGTTCTTATCTGCCGTCACATTCTATAAGCCCCCCTAAACCTACTGTGTTGGATTCTCTGCTGTACCTCACATGCCTTTTTCAAAGCAGAATAAAAAAAAAAAAGAAATCAGTGTAGCATTGTGCTACTTGATAGTGATTTTCTTTTACCGTTTTCCTAGTCGAGATTTTAAAACTGATGATTGCAAATGCTTGAGGTAGGGACTGCAAAAGTGTTGTCACCCAAGGTAATATGCAGACCACTGTGATGAGCCTAAAAAGTAACCGACCTCATGCCATCAGATATGGCCACAGCGAAAAGGAAACACATAGGGGATGGGACATATATTTAGGACGTATACATTACGCTAGTTGTAAACAGTTTGTTACACATATGCTCATGTACATAAAGTTATGGTTATTAGTTAAAAATAAAAAAACTCCAAGATGAACTGTTAAGACGAGGCGCACCAGCAGATCAGGCGAATAGTCACGACGAAATTTCTGAATGTTTAAGTTATAAGGGTAG